GATGGAAATGGTGAAAGGAGCCCTTTTTCCAGGGGTGGACACACACACACACACCTAAAAACACATACCATAGGGCAAAAAACGGACATAGAACTCACCTGAAATAACATACATTCACCTTAATGTTGGATGTTGATGAAGTAATAGGGCCCTCTGATATGCTAAGTTATTGAACACATAGTTCTGTACCCCCTGTTCGGTTTGTGTTGTTGTAAGGCTCCTCTATTATGCTATTTTTTGGGGGCCTAATTTTATATTACAGTATCTAAACAATATGTAGGGTTAATTATAGTCCTTTAGAAAAATCAGGATAGTAGGCTTTAATACTACTAAGCCAATGGTTGGCTTGCTGAGAGTATTGTATAGGTTTCTCAAGTTCTTCTTCAAAACTCACAGCTTCCCAAAACCATCAATTCCCGAACCAATCCGTTATGTAAAGATTGCTCCTAAACAAATTTTCAAGGTAGTAGACCAGGAAGGCCCGTGCTCCTCAATAGTGAATTTGGTTTAAGGGTCCTCAATTGTGCAAAGGTTTTTCCTGAAGATAAATAACCATAGTAATTCTTAATACTACTAAGCCAATGGTTGGCTTGCTGAGAGTATTGATAAGTACAGGTTTCTCAAGTTCTTCTTCAAAACTCACAGCTTCCCAAAACCATCAATTCCATAATTAATCCTTTATGTAAAGATTGCTCCTAAACAAATTTTCAAAGTAGTAGACCAGGAAGGCCCGTGATCCTCAATAATGAATTTGTTTTAAGGGTCCTCAATTGTGCAAAGTTTTTTCTGAAGAAAATACATATAGTAATTCTTAATACTACTAAGCCAATGGTTGGCTTGCTGAGAGTATTGATAAGTATTCTCAAGTTCTTCTTGAAAACTCACAGCTTCCCAAAGCCATCAATTCCTTCATCAATCCTTTATGTAGTAGTATGAAAGGATTGCAAATACTACCTGATGATAAAGAATTTCGGAAAGGAAAATTTATACTACAATCAATTGCAAAAGGAATCCTCTTAGGAACCCAGATTTGTTTTGGTGGTAGCTTATTATAGAGTACCCCCCATTTGTTTGAGGGGTGGGGACTCAGGATCCAACATTAAGCAAAAACCAAGCCAATGATCGCTCCATAATTTTGGCCAAGGAACACCTGCGAGGGCCCTCCTATCACTCGGCACGGAACGGACGCTACTCCACACGGAACGGCACGCGACTGCGCCACCGGTGTCTTCCGCGGCGGCGGGGACCGTGCGATGTACACAGGTTAAGTGACCTGAACTAGGACCCGTAACCTGAGGTATGTATAGGATAGTCTATAGGGCTCTTCAACCTCTGCTGAGATAGGGGAAAGGATAGGCACCTGTAGGTTCGGCAGAACCTGAGAGGTCTTGATCCCGTAGTGCTGGGGTGCATGTTCTGGTCATAGCAGTTTTCGGCGGTTCCATGTGTTCAATCTCCCAAGGAGGGTACTTCCAGAACCTTCCCATCCACAACTTGTGGGGTTCTAGCAATCTCTGTCGACATCGGAAAGAAAGGCCTCTCTCTACACACAAAAGGCAAGTGACACTCCTGACTGGTCAGAACTTTTAGCAAAAGACCCCTAGAAAATGAAACAGAAAACGTGTACACTAGGTTCCTAATGAGACTATCACCCGCCGCCATGTGTTCTTTTTTGGGCGTTTTGGTGTTTGGCTATTTCACTTCGTGGTCGCCCTGGTCGTGTTGCGGGTCGGTCGCCCATGGTCGGTTGGTACTTCGTCATGCACGAACAAGTCCACCAGGCCACCCGTGGGCCCGTGGGGGACGAGTCGGGCACGGGGCGATTTGGGAGATTTTTGCAGCCCGGAGGTGGTCATCCCCATCTGAGAGGTGACTCAGGTGACACTATGTGACACAACTCTGAACTGGTCAACAAGCATGGGGTTTGCGAGACCGAAGGACCTAAGCATACATCGGACCAAGCATGGATGCATACCGGGATATATCGTTCTCTGTGTAAATGACATGGGGTCCTCCCAAACAGTCTTTGAACCTACTGTATCCTCTTATAAAAATACATTGCAATAGAAGCAATGTTGTAAATTGACTCACTTCAAGCATCACCAACATCTCCAAGAAAACAACCAAGAAATCTGAAATGGTCAAAACGCTTCTCGAATCTGAACCACAGCTCGCGCAGCCACTGCGACGAGGCGCATGCTTTTTTTTCGTCGTTTGATGAGGCTCGTCCCGCGCCCCCAAGCACAAACGTTTGGGAGCAGTGTTCGTTGGCATGCTCTACCAATCTGTCTTAGTGCTGTACGCGTTGTCTATAGTGTAAGTGGATCAAGCATAGATTGGGTGGTCGGTTTGCTTCAAAAGTGCAAGCATGATCCAACACAACGTCAATGGCCTAGCAAATGCCTTGAGTGGATGAGTCAATGGACTTCTCACTTGTCTATCAGGACAAACCAGCCAAACTGTTCAACTCCATACCTGCAGAAGCTGCTATGTATATAAACTGATCCGCTGAAGAGTACCAGGGGGTTCTCTAGATGGGGAACCCCCCTTTCTGCTTTACTTGTCATGAAACCCTTCGGCTTGAAACGTCGCTTAACGGTGTCATGTCGTCGACTCACTTCGCCATGCTTCGCCCAGCGACAACATCCGGACCGGCCTGCCGAGCAGCATTGGTCACAAGAATTTCCCACGAAACGCCACAAAAGCAGCCTTGTCTTTGCACGCAGAATAAACATGTTTAATGAATACCTTTCTTGAAACTTTCATCCCCACCATCATCGCAGTCCTGCAGTCCTTAGTATTATGGTGGGTCCTCAAAATTGAGTTCCAGCAGGTTCAACTTACCAAGGGCCACAGTCCAAAATGAGGGTCACCCCAGCAAACACCAAACGGACAGCAAGCAGTTACTGTAGATGCCCATCATTGAAATCTTCGCATCTGGTGGTCAGATGCAAAAAGAACTCTAAATGATATGGTTCACACATCATACCCTTCAATCTATAACACATGCATGTTAAATGACACACAATATACATTTGCATCTTGCCTAGATCGGGTGCATTCACTTCGGTCACTTCTTTACCTTCCAGGGTCCAGTTCCGCCGGAGTTCGCCGGAGTGCGTTCGGTCGAGGGCAACCGACGTGCCGGGTGGGTTCCACCCGACGCGCCTTGGTCAACTTGGTCATTTGAAGCTGTTGAAGTCGATGAAGTTCCCAGCGCCCCAGACCTGGTCTTTGCGTGCTGGCCGCTGGCGCGCCAAGACCGATATATGCAAAAATTGGGAGCGCAGGACGCGCGCGCGCGCCATCCGATATGAGCTATGAGGGGGGGTTGGTGATTTCTTAGCAGTCTTAGCTGTCTTCGACATGTTTAAGGAACTGGGAAAAAAGTCTGTCTATGTACAGTATCTTTCCCCAGAAGGATCCAGAAGGGAATTCAATTCACTCGTATAGGGGACTAAAGCAACAAAAACACACCAAACAAATCCAGGTACTAAACCAGGTAGATCTCTTCTCCAGTTGAGACCTACCTGAAATTTGTCCATCAGGAGTCCTAGGAGTTGGCGGAGTTGCCTATTTGTGTCCCATTGTTTCCTCCGGCTTGCTCATTCAACGGCATGGAGGGCAACCTTTCCTGCCCTGAGAAGCTATCCCATGCTATTCCTATCAATCTTTCATGCATCATCAGCGATCTCCCAGGTCACTCCTCACAACCAAGGAGAAACTGTCCACACTCATGGAACAGCAGTCAACTGTCACCGCTGCTACACGTCCCTGCAAAATCATCCATGGTGACGTGGACTGTCTGGCCCATGATTTCGGAGGACCCTAAAATCCGAAGACCAAACTGGTGCTTTTCATGAAACCATGATGGAAATCCATGGAATGTATGGAATGTGACTCCCCTGAGAGTGGATTGATCCTTTATTTCTCCAAGACACACTCGCTTTCGCAGCAGCCCTTGCTTCCTGCAGGTACCTCAGAGTCGCGTCTCTCTCACGCCTGGCCTTTCGAAAAGCCAAGGCCTCTTCCGTCTGCTTCACACCACTCGGTCCAGACTGAGAGCACTTCTCAGAGTCTGTGAATACTTTCATGGAGAAATCCTGACGCAACAAAATCATCTATACTTCCAGCCATGCGATCAACAAACATAGAAGACATGGATACTGGAAACAGATAAACATATTATTCTCCTTTACACAAAAAATCGAAGAACAAAAAAAAAACACACACAGCACACATACACCAAACGCCGCTGCCATGCTAATGAAAACGGTCCAAGCCACTGCCATGCTTCCTTCTCTTGGTCGCTGCCTTCCGGAGCCACTTCGCGGCCCCATTCATCCTATCAGGCGGTGTCGTGCCTCACAGGGCCTGTCACCACTTCTCTGCCTCTTCAGTAGATAAACGGAATCTGCGTCAATCAAACCGTACAAACTGGTGTTTTGAACTGTTGAGATGGAAGAAATACCTCCCAGGTTCTAAATCTAGAAGATATCATAGAAACACATCCTGAAAGGCTCAAGGGTGGCACGGACGAAGCGTTCTCACATCTTCTCCCCCCACTCCCGTCCTTTGTTGGCCGTGCTGGCTCGGGCGGCCTCCGCAACGCCGGCCGCGGCTTCGCAGCGGCTGGCGTGGGCCGCGGCGAGGTGGGGGATGCCTGGCAGCACACCAACAGCAACATGGAATGCCTGAAATCCTGTAATCAGCATATCTTAAAAGGCCTGCCGTAATTCATCCATCAAACGTCTTCAGCGAGTTCGCCGCAGAAACGCGCACCCCGACGTCGGCCTCAGTCTTGGATGATTCCTGGCGTCGGAGGTTCGTAGTTGTTTTCGCTCTTTTGAGGCCTTTCATCCTCTACACTTGCGGTATATGCCAAACAACGGACATATTATTCGACATTCCTTTGTCACACATGTTGGCACTCCACCCCGAACTTACATCCCTGAAAAGCCCTACATCGCCGTCGCCGTCGCCATGGCCGGTGTTAGTGGTGTCCGAATCGAATCCTATCGATTCCTGGAATCCTTCATGGGCATCTTGAGTGCCCCGACTTTGCCTTCATCGCAAACACCCCCAGGAATAAGTAGGTGATGCAGTGCCAGCATATGACTCCGTCATGTGTTTGGACTCCAAACTGAAGCACAGTGTGGGGGGGTGCATCTATGTTGGCAAGTCAGGGAGCATCATTTCTGATTACATACAGCAACTAGATTGACGTGACAAACACACACACACACATACTGCACATACTGATACAAACCAAACATCACCACACGGGACTGCCATGCAAAACGAGACCAAAAGGGGTGGTTTGAAGGCTTTGATGTTTATCGGGGTCCAGTCCCAGTCCCGAATCGGTTTAAGGGGGTGGTCGGTCCGTGGGACGTCAGAAGCGTTGGTTCTTCACGTCCTGACCAGGTTTGGCTTCACCTGTTTGACACAGGCCGTCTACCTGGGAGACCGGACCTGACCCAGGAGTTCAAGTTTGGTCACTTTCAAGAAGGGGTGCTATCCAGTCACGTTCGAGAAGGGCTGCTATCCATGGAGGAAGTCGGGTTGCCCAGAACATCCACTCACTGGATGTTCATCTGTTTTCTAGACTGTCCAGTGGACTCAATCAGCCCACGAATTGCTGCACCTCCTTTGCCTTCGACTCAAGCTCCGCCTGCAGTCAGTGGTTCAGATGATTCTACTTCTACGTCCGCTGCCTTAAACAACTAAAGTTAGGTCAGTTCTGGAGTTGATGAAGAGGGTGCAACCAAAATGGAAAGCATTGACATGCAAGTGTCTTGGAAGCGGAGCCAACAGTGTTTCCGACCGACCTACCTGATCTTTGGAGAGTCATTTTGGAAGCCCTGCAGAAAAAGCATTGCCAGTTTCGGCAAACCAAACTGGGAGTGAAACATACACTTGCATTTTGTTGTCAATGTGGGGCCAACTAGATTCTCCGTACTCCCACAAACAAAAACGAAGAAAAGCACGAATCTACGCATTCGGGGGCCCACACAGCAATGTTTCTTGATAAGTGCAAAGTCCAATGACTTCCTTCCAAAATAACTCAAAATTACCTCCAGTGCTTCACCTAATCTTCCTTGATATTCACAAAAGGTAGTTATTGGGCACTTTGACGCCAAAACCACCAACAAAGCCCACGTTGCCTGCACTCCCGTCCACTTTGTTTCTACAAACCACCCTGCACAGGTTCCGCCGCGACAAGTTCCGCCGCGACAGCTTCCGCTGCCTCTTTGGTCTCCACCTTCTGCCGCTTAGGCTCGGGCCTCGGGCCAAACGGTGGTGGGCAAAGCAGCAGACCCGTTTTGGTGGACATGAGTGACCCACACGCTTCGGTTCCGAGCTGGTGAAGCGGTGCCTAGCTAGGAGCGAGCTAGATCCGAGCAGAGCCGGGCTGCTTTCAAGCAAAGATGGGAGGTAGGTAGGTAGTTTCTTATAGATAGCATGCCACTGGTGTCTCATATATGGTCTGGTATATAGCAGCCATCTTGTTCCAATCCTGGGCACCGATCTGGACCCAAACACGACCTGTTTGGGACTGCCATATATGCCGCCCCATTGACACCCCTGGCACCACCCCAAGATACGTAGGCGTATATGGCAGTCCCATGGAGCGTCTGGGTTATAACATTAACATTGTAACAATTAAAGACAGAACGCATGTGGGACTCCCCTCAAATACAGCTGAATGACCTTTGTTTACTGCTGGTGGTAGGCCCTGGCTTGAGGTTCTTGGTGTTCAGGGCTTTGGATGGCGGATTGTCCGTACGTAGCACGATGCTACAGTTTTGGAGCTGGAACTAGGCACCCGACCCACTTGTGAGTCTATAGAACATGATTCTCCTCCTTCAGGCTGTTACTATTTGGTGCTGGTTTCCATGTGTTTCCATGACTCACACGTCCTTTGAGGTTATCCAGAGGCCACGGCTCCTCCACTTGAGCTGTATCCAACTCCTGAAGAAAGGCATCAAACCTGAGGCGCGGTCGCGAGGTGTCTGAGTTCCGAGAGGAGATCCCTTAAGGGCCTTCGTGCAGAAACACCAGCCCAAAGACTCCCACTGAGACTGGCGGTCCCACTGGCTGTCCCATTGACTCCGCCAGTCCGTGCAAATGGGTCTGTCTGTTTCATGGGATCGTGCCCATTCCAAGTCGGGAGCAATGAAAAACGCAGTGACCATTTGGGGAAGCAGTCGCCTACCCGGCCCTGGGGGTCTCCCGACATGCACCGGTGATTGATATCGAATGCGGGGCTCCCGGTCAGGGTGGGGTCAAACCACGCGGGGATGACGTTCTTGGGGAAGGAAGCCCAAGGGTGAGTGAACAAACAGGGCCCCTTCAAGCAAATTCATGCTAGGTCTCCGCAAGATGTACAAGCTAAAACCTGGAACCAGTCTTCCGGAGAGTGACTCACCTTTGCTTGTGTGCATCCCTCATCAGGCTTTCCTTGAACTAGGCAGGAATTTACGACTGAAGCTCTCTCTCTCTCTCTGTATGTATATATATATATATGCTGCTATTCTAATTTATCTTTACGCATTTTACTTGTTTCTGCCCAAGGCTAGATTTGCAGAACAAAAGCACGATCTACCTGTTCCTTGTTGTGTTTGTTTCGTCCGAGTTGCGTGCTTTTTTTCGCCCGAATTGGATTTGCGGAATTGGTGTTAGTTATCTGCAATCTGTGCTTGACCACAGGCTGTCTTCAGATAGCCGCTACCCTGAAAAGGTAGATTTGCAGATTCAGGCAGAAATGTCCGCCCGGCAGGTGGTTCCAGGATGTTCTAGGTAGGGCGCCCCGTTCTACACAAGGCAATGCGGCATACTCTTCACACAAGTGCCCCGTTGGACGTCCTTCGTTTCGATCACGACATTTTGCGCTTAGGAGTTTTCGGACGAGCCCCGGCTGAGCCTGCCAGGTAAACCGCAGCTGTTCAGAGGTCAAAGCGGACTGAGTACTGATTGGAACAACACAGGACCGGACGTGCTTCGCCGTGTTAGGGTCTTTTGATCTTTTAGCACAGTGAGTATAGGGACCAGGCATATAGTTCTACCCTTCAGTTGGATGGGCCTCTTTGCGCTCTCAGATGGGCCTCTTTGAGCTCGAAGGCAGTCAACTGAGAATCATCCCTTACGGCCTGGTGTGCGACTGTGACTGGTCTTGGGCTGTGAAAAAGACCACATGGACTCCCATGGACTCAATGGACGTCTTCCTATTCCCCACAGCTACTCCAGTGGTGCCTCGGTGCGACCCTAAGCACACTAAGCACACCTCAGTCTGATTCAGTCCTTTCGAAGGTACGACTGGAGGTTTAGGGATTTACTTATTATTTACTGGAGCCCTAGCTGGTGCTAGCTTTCGTGACGAATCAGAGTTGCGACCCCCACAAGAGACGATGCGAAAACGGAGCAATAACGATGCGAAACGGAACGACACGTCCAGGAACGACGCGTCAAGGTCAGGTGGTGGTGGCTCAGCTGCGGTCGTCTTCAAGACCGGGCCTGTCGGTGCGTCACGGCGGGCCGGGACTCTGCGATGCTGGTAACTGGTTGCGCCAGTGTTTGTTCACCAAAATGTTTTCATACCTGCAACCTCGTGGTGGCTTTTTGGGGGTCGGTGCTTTTTTCCATACCTGGATTTGAGGTCTGTGGAAAAAAGCACTCTGAGGAAGTTCCAGGTATGTTTCCATGAATTGGTTTGAGATGGTTCAAGACGAACATTGAGAGGGACATGTCACATCAACCGTCGTGCCACGCATGATGGTAGGACACATTTGCATCGTCCCAATTCGTTGGTGAACACCGTTGCAGGGAAAGTTCAAAAGGAACTCATCACTGAAGTCAGAAGTTTGTGAGTGCCTAGCTCCTCCTCCAATGCCGAGTCATGGCCTCCGATAAGAAAGTGAACGTATGTGTGAAACATTGTGAAACTGTGAAACTATTCCCATTTCGAGAAACACACATATCAATCCCTAGGGATCCAAGTACCTTCTCAAGTACGGTGATTGGAGACTATTTAATGCGATTTATGTAGGCTTGGCGGGCCCAAGTACCTCCTGAGAAGGTATGTGGATCCCTATAGCGAATATAAACATGCACCTGCTGGTCCAGGTGGACCTTATGATGTGTAGCGACCCACGTCCGTCGATACCATCAAGAGATGGACTCCTGGGCCGGTTCGATCCCTCAAAAAGGCCAAGCAAGCTTTCCGAACCGTCCTTGTTGGGTGGGCTGCCCCCTGTCCCCAATATAAAAAAGCAACGGTTTGGCTGGTGATCCACTGAACTCCTGGGATCTCCTGGGTACATGCCGCTTCCTCCACGTTACCTAGGGGGAGGGTTGCGAGGTCTCACCGGTCTCACATGCCATAGACTCTTTCAGTGTCTCATGGTTTTGCAAAGAGTCAAGCCCATCACCCAAACAAATGGCTCAACATGGCCATATAACATAGACTACATTGACCAGAGTTCAATTTCTTTGTGGTTCCTGCTTTGAATATCTCGAGTGCTCAGTGTCAGGTTTGCCAGCATCTGTTTCATCCTCTCAGCTCCACATGCCATGAGAGGGTGATGTCCCTTCAGTTTCCGCGTTTAATCCAGCTCGTCACCTAATTAAAAAACTTGATCATCCATAAACTAAAAACACCCCATTGCAATCCTTTTGGATTGTAACAAATCCTGGGCTCAGGGTGGGTTGAATATCCAAGAGTCTAATGAGTCCTCTCTCCGCCCAAATCCTCTTCGTGCGAATGTCCGGGCCTTTGCGAATCACGGGCTGCGCCGGCGCCGCGGGCTTCACGGGCGCCGCGGGCTTCACGGGCGCTGCGGGCTTCACGGGCGCTGCGGGCTTCACGGGCGCTGCGGGCTTCGCAGGCACCGGTGCTGCCAGTACTGCCGGTGCTGCCGTGGTCGCTGGGGTGGGTGCCGGTGTGGCGGGTGGCGCCTGAGCGCAACCAACGGCGACGGAAGATTGGATCAGTCTAGGAAACCCAAACGACAGGGTAGGTTGCAGGTGCGCAGAGCAAGGAATAGATCATGGACACATCATGGAAACTGTGTAATGGTATGGCAGGGAGCATGTCTACATTCGGCACTCTTGGCAAAGCACTGCCAGGGTAGATCCATAAAATGGAAAACTGAGGCAAAGGCAGTGTTATTAATGTCTCTGGAGACTCTGGTGTACCTAATAGTGCCAGGAAAAAATTGAAAAGGTAGAGTTGCAGGCACTGCTGCACCAGGAACTACATGGGAGAAAAGCAGGAAAAAGCCACTTCTCTTTGTTGTCCGCATGGGAAATCTCTATGCTGTCCACACTGCCACACTGTTGTCCACATTGCAGCCGCCAAGAAAACGTGAAGCAAGCTTTATGATATGTAAGTATTTCTCCACTCTCATCACCACATGGGACAAAAGGGCCACCCACTGAACCCACTCCCAACACTCCTAAGCTGCATCTTCCCCCCGCATCGAAGCAATCCAAAACAACCAGTGGCAAGCTCACCTTCTAGCATTCAATAGCACCAGCATCATGATCTACATGTGCTTGGCATTTGGTGTGCCAAGGCCTTGTAGGCTTCAAAGGAGCACATCTAAATCCGTAAGGCACATCCGAACTCCTTCTCCCGCCTTGGCCTTCGCCTCCTGCAATCCTGGTGGCACGGGTGCCGCCGTCGCTGCCTCGACGTTGTCCGGCGGAGCAGGCGCAGAGGCCTTGACGGTGGACGCTGCGATGGCTTCATTCTTGGGCCCCAGGAGAATGCCACGACGCTTGGCCAACGTCTGAAGGGCCTCATTCTGCCCAGTTTCAGGGCGGCCGGCCCGGACTGGAGGTTTCGACGTCGAGCATGAGCAGTAAAGAAAAAAGAAGAAAACATGTCATCTAAGTCATCCATTAAAAAAAATGTCAGTTCATCCTGCAAACGCCGTGGCTCACAAAGTCATCTCCAGTACAGTCAAACCCGGCGTGCCGCGGAGAAAGATCGTAAACCATTTCAAGCCTCATGTCAATCCCAAACACTCCATGTATGGCATATTTGTATATATATATATATACCTTGGGGTGGTTGACCTGGGGTCCATTGATCGGCATTGAAAAACCAGTCCCAAGACCAGATCGTGTCGGATTCGATACGTGTTCGACCACGGCGCCCGCCTCATCGTCCTCTCCCAGCCACTTCCTCAGCATCTCCAGCACCGGTACGTCGATCTGCGTGTCCTGCTCCACCGCCGTCCTCAAGGCGGAGAGCACCGCCTCCTTGTTCTGCGCGGCGACACCTTCACGGATCCTGACGTCCGGCCCGGTCCGGTCGACGGACCGGAGCAGGTTCCGAAATCAGCGACGGGAACGAACGGCACCTTGATCTTGATCTGAGCATGTTGTCTGATGTTGTTTGTACTGCGCGGGTCGTTTGCAGCTTGCAAGTCGAAACAACACAAGTTTAAGCTATCCCTCTATCAATTCTCCAAGTTAGAGGACTCTGGAGAAAAAGTAAACAAAAAACATCTGCTGAGCAATCACAGGGATCAAAACCAAAGGTGGTTGAGATGCTCGAGGCGGACTTGCCAAATCTCGCTGCTTAGCCTTGGCCGTTTGCAGAGCTCAAAACCTAGCATCTACCTGCCCAAGGCCTTCCACCAGGTCTAAAACATGCATCAACATACCATTGTTTAGTGGATTCTAGTGGGTGATTGTCGTTTCATGTTCGGGGTCCACTAGTCACTTTATATAAACAGTCTTGCCTGAGTCTTCACCGTTCGGGAGAACGCAAGTCGAGTCGAGACTTGAAGTTATGCCCGATGAGGAACAATCAAATGGGGCCCACTGCATTGGTGGCTGTCGCTCTCAAAACAAACATGGCTTGGTTGAACCAATGCACCAAACAATATTCACCCAAAGTTCAAGCCGCAAGCAAGAAAGCCTTATAGTTAATGATACCGACCCTCCGACCGGATCCTACCGGCCCACACACCCCGAAGACATCGCTGCATCCGCGCGGACGTCTTTCACCATGCAGCGTTCGCAGCATCGGCCGGTGGCGCGCTGGCCTTCCCAGTGGCTGCGTTGAAGGCCTGAAGATTCGGGACGACCTCTGGATGTGTAAAAAGAACGGTGCTTTTTAGCAAGTCGACATGTGTGACACAATGTGATGCAACCACCAACAGAATTGTGTTTAAGCAAGCGAGCATCAGTGCGAGCAGGGGATTGGATGGATAGCCGTCAATGGTGCAACCGCACCTTTGTTTTCACATCTCTGCTCCGAAACCATCCATTGGACCTACACTCCCTGGATTCATCAATGACCACCATCTGAGACCACCTCCATGTCCCACCATCCTTGATTAATTTTCAATTAATTTGGGTTGGATACACCCACACCACCCCATAATTAATTGAGACAGTGTCATACTGCTGAATTAATTTCCACCTATTTCCTCATCGATTTTTCAAGCGACAACTGACGACATGAGTCATCAGAAATCAACGTGGATCACAGTGCCTGTTGTGAAGAAACCTAGCGCCAATCTAGCGCTGCCATCACCATAGTCTGCTGGGGGCCCGCTTCCAAACAAAGACTTAAAATCACATCTCCAACCTTAAAGTTTACGTGGGTTGTCTGGAGCGTTTTCAGGTGGCACCACCCCAAAATATTTATTTTCCACTGAAATTGAATAATTGTGTGTGGGGGTGACCAGTCGGCCCACCCCCCAATTAATTACTTCGCAGGACATGAAAGAGGGGGTGACTCGGGGTGACAGGTCATTATCACTCTTGATCCCGCTGGATGCAAACAAAACAGCAGGGACACAAACTCACCATGAATCATCATGACTTCAATTCTGATATTTGCTGACATATTATTAATTGGAGGTGGGTTGGCTGTCCAACCAACCACATAGCATTCTAAACATTAATTGAGGTGGTGTCTACTTTTGATCCACCCTCAATCAGGAAATTAATTGAGGTGGGGGTCACTCAAGCACCGAAAATTAATTGACAACCACCCTACACATACCCGTCAGTTAATTTCTAGGCAACATTAATTCGCAAAGAAAAAAACCATACAGTGAATCCACCCATCAATGAATTTCCTAAGGTAGTACCCATCTTCATCAATGGTTATGTGGAGACCCACCTACTTGTAGAGGATTTCAGTGATCCTTGCGGGGCTCCACGTAGCCATGATGATTCGATGTCAGGAATTGCTATTGCTACCTACTGTAAGAACAGGTTGAAGTCGTACAGTAGTGCTACCGACTGTCGGAATCCATACAGTAGTGCTACCAAGTTGAAGTCCGGTTTGAATACGAAAGAACACGAGCCCCCACTGTCTTCCAGTGGAGCCTCACCCTAGGCCCTATCTCACCCTCGCCTCTTCCCCCAACCATTTCTTCAGCATCTCCAAAATGGGTGGCTCGATGGGGGTTCCAAGCTGGTGAGCCAACTGCAAGGCATTCCTGGGCCCAGTGGAACTGGCGCCGGTTCTACGTGTCTTGACGCGTAGAAAAGGGGCCCAGTTCGAAGCGTCAAAAGAAACATTTGGTGGTAGTGCTCATTGAACCTTACTCTACATACACAAATGCATATATATATATATACATGTAATATATCTATATATATATATGTCATAATGCAAATATATCCGCCACCGTATCCCACAGTCAAGGCTTGAAAGGCTCATATCCTAGGTTGCCAAAGGTCTGCCAAACATTGTCTTCTGGGCTTGAGCCAGGAGTCCTGAGGGCAGGTCTATGAGCCTAGTTTAGGTCTTATCATACACTGGCCGAATTTGAGCAGAGGTTTACCCGGCACGCCTGAAGAACTAAGCTCTCATTGGTACTGATTACACTGTGAAAGCCATGGGAAATGACAAGAGTCGGAATCAATCTCAACAAACATCTTGGAATCACACCATCAATGTGGATCTCCAAAAAGAATCAAGTCTCTTCACTGCTGTGCGATCCTGCTTGGCCACGCCTTGTCGTATCAGCAGCAATACATCCTGGGGTTTGTTGCCTCCGGACGCCACGCCCGGACCTGCTGGGACAGCAGGTCCTGGACCTGAGCCTCCAGGTCCTGGGCCTGGGCCTCCAGGTCCTGGGCCTGAGCCTCCAGGTCCTGGGCCTGGGCCTCCAGGTCCTGGGCCTGGTCCGCCATGTCCAGGACCCATGGGACTCACAAGACCCACAGGGCGGGGGCCCGGACCCAATCCGCTCGGTGGCAGCCCATTGGTGGCGCAGGGGCCGCAGCCGGCTGGGCGGATGATGGGTAGGACAGGCGCAAAGCCAGGAGCAATGGCCCCTGGGAAGGGTGGGAATTTGGCGCCTGGGCCAAACATCACCTCATCCTGCAGGATGGCGAGGAATCATTCAGGTGAACATCGTGGAAAATCCATGCATTACTTATTCGCACACACACACACATGTTAGGAGACTGACTAACTCCTCTATGTACATTCTTTGTGGGAGAATACGGCCGAACAAAACACAAGGTCGACTGACATGTGTATGTTAAATGAGTAAATGACACGTCCTTAGCTATTGGATTGTCCAATCAAGGGTTTCATCATCATCATCATCATCATCATCACCATTCTCAAAAGCAGCATCCATTTGTATACATAATGATACATAATGCAATATGAGTAAGTATGTCTATGTCTAAACAGCAAAGTTGGAACCCGGTGTGCAACTCTCCTTTCATTCTTTGTTCATTCATTCATGCATGCATTCATTCAATCTCTCTCTCTCTCTTTCTTTCACCCTTCCCTCCCCGCCCTGTCCTATAGTCTGCACGGCCTGATGCTGAAGCCTGAACTTGGTGGTTCCCTCTCATGGGCGCAATTGACTTTGAGCCAAGCGCTGCAGTTGCTCACTCCAATGAATTTTGAATCTGTGGTCTCTTGGGTGACTGTTATTTTGTATCTGATTTTGCGATTGCTGACGCGATGCCGAGTGTGAGTCTGATGTTTAAATCCTCCGGTGTTTTCACCTGCCACGAATTGGCGAGGTGGGTTTAGAGGGATGTTGATTTCAACAAATGTCAGCAAAGGCCAGTTATACGACCATGTTGGCAAACCAATACCAATTGCCTTGCGCGGAATCGAGAAGCGCGGAATAGCTAGCGCTAGAGTTCCTCGGCTGTTCATGCCTCCACGCCGAGGAAAACCGCACCTACGACCTGCGTGAGTCATACCGTCAAAGATCTGCCGTTCCACTGTCAGTTCTTCTAGCATTTTACTGTGAGGTGAGGTCCATGAGGATCCACTGTTGCCTGCAGCCTCAACGTGCGCTTGCCTGCGCGCTCACCACATGGACGGCAAAACAGAAAAGCAGCAAATGAGAGAGCCAGTCAGCTGCAGGTTTCACATGCTCCAAAAAGACCAGAAGTAGAATCCACCAAGTTCCGCTTCAGGACCAACCAATTCAATCCATTTCAATCATAGAAGCAGGATGCCACCTATTTAGTAGAGGACACGCATCAATTGCACAAGATTCGTTGCACCTATAAGGGCAAAAAGGTTGAAACCACACCAGGGCTTGCGAAACCATTCCAATTTGCACCATGTAATGCCTGAAACTTCCAGATCCAGCCTGAAGGTTGTGCCAACCTCCGATTTTCGAGGAGTGGTTGCCTCAAGGAGGCCAATCAAACATGGCCGAACGGCTCCCTTTCCAGGTCGCAAAGAGCAACTTTTGATAATCGTTCACCTGTGTTCAACAGATGTGCCACGGAGAATAGGGGGCTTGATCCTTTCTACAAGTCACACAAATTTGAGTCACAAGGCTGTGGGTTGGATGCATCTCTGGCAAACTGTATCAAAATGTATGCCACGCCACTCCAACGGATGTGCCCCTCTCTCCAACATGCGCCGTGGGTGCGAGCGCCAAGCTATGGGACGGACCGATGGGATGACCATCGAATCACCTTCTGAGCCTCTAAGGCACAGGCATTGGAGTTGCAGGGCCTCTGTGCAAAGGCAGCAGTGTTGAACAAACCTTGGGTGGGACCCTGATCACAAAGGCCCGTGAGAGCCATGGTTGCAACTGCAACATCCTGTCATCTAAGATTGCTACAGCTATATATATATATATATATATACATGATATCCACCAAGGCGAGCCCTGCAGGCTTTCCAGGCGGAATCTTGCGGAGTAACTACCGTCCACCACTTGCAGGAGTAGTCATGACTCTGCTAGGCTCTCTTGATTAGACTACCCCCGGTGCTACTGGTTCACCCATCTTGCGCCACCAGCTGGCCCTTGATGAATCCGGTGCAAATGAATCAACCCCACCAGGAGATGAAGAATCGAGTCGTGGCACGGAGCCCCTAGTAGCTTCTTTGCTCCTAGTAGCGAGGCCAGGAGCTACTAGTAGCTTCTTGCTCCTAGTAGCGTCCTGTAACACTGTCCCAAAATGCTTTGGATCAGATCATGGGTGCGTTGTCTCGGCACTGATGATGCAGCACGCCCTCTCTCCGTTCTGACCATTTCTCAAGCAGTGGCAGCTCCGAAGCAGCGGCAGTTGTCGCGTTCACCAAACTCAACATGGTTTGAAAACTGTGTGGAGTGGCAGTGCAATCAAAAACAATGATGTTATACTATACATATTATCAACAATAGTATTATCGATGTTTCGATGTTTATCTGATGTCACGTAGATACCATCACATAGATCATCCGACGCTGCCAGCTTGACGCGGCTCGAGGAGTCGGCTGTAGAAAGGGACTTCGACTATATACTACTTCGCCTATCTTGCCAGGTAATCCTTAAATCATCGCGTTGCAAGTGCCTCCTGAGAGGGTGGAGCCCAAGGGTAAATTCGGAGTGGGAGGACGAGAAATGCACCGACTACCTTCCTGTAGTGCTCTGTGCCACATCTTGCTGTCAATCCTACTGCAATTCTTACTATAACCCAGAAATCGCATGTGCCGGATTTTGCGGCTCCAGGCTGGCCTGGATCTTTGAAGCACCCATTCCACCTATAGCTACGCTGCGCTGGTGCTTCTTCAGGTGTCCCGGCGCGATGGTAGAAGATCGGTGCCAGGAAGGCTGCATTGAAGGCCACCAGGATTGGCCTCAAGTTTGTGAGCAGCTGAGCCACCAGTGGAGGGTGGAGTGGAGATGGTTGGAGGAGTGTTGGTGAGTATGGCACATGTGGCTGAGTCCGACCACCCAACCCCCTCAAGATTGAGCAACCTTGATCGACACTCCATGATATTCCCGGAGAGCTCAGGTAGACCTGGTGGTTTTCGGCGTTCTCAAGACTCTTTTCCTCTAGCTGCACCAGTGGTTTTCAGGGTCCATTTTGGTCTTCAGCAGGGTACAATGGTACAAATGACTTTGAAACAAAAACGAAACCTGCAAGGGGAACCTTCTCCGTGTAGAGGAAGGTGGAGCGTCCAAGATATCACGTGCTGCTGTCCAAACGGACCACTTCGCCCTCGGAAACTCGGAACCTTTGGCTCAACAGGCCGGGCGAGGGATCAAGAAAAAAACAAAAATTGGTTAAACAAAACATTAAACAACGTAAACGGACCGAAACGTGCAGAGGGAAGAGCAATATTCCATTAACGGGCGGGGGATCAACAAAAAAACGTAAATGCAAAAAAATAAAACATATTTCAGTGTGATCAAGAAAAAACAAAAATAAACAAGAGAGGGAAGAACAATATTCCATTCGAAGCAGTGATCAAAAAAAA